GAGGACACATCTCATATGAATAAAGATGACCTGTTGGGGGAAATAGACCAAAAGGAATTGTAAACTACTCATCATCTGTACGCACCCCAATGTAACGCACCCAATTTCATCAAACATACCTAAAAGACTCTACAACGCATATATAAATCCCAACACAGTGGTTGTGGGAGGACTTTAAACAACATTATCATCAATAAGATAGGTCATCCCCAATAACAAAAACTCAACTAAAGAAAGTCACGATCTAGAAATATGCAATAGATCAAAGTGGACCTATAGCTGTCTATAGACACATCTTCATCCAACTCTACAAGCAATTACACCTCTTCTCAGCAGCCCATGGAACCTTCTCCAAAATAGATATATCTATGGCGCAGCAACCGCAAGCCTCAGCACAACTATAAGAAAAATAGGAAATAAACGTGCATACATCTGACCAGCAATGCCAGTAAAAGTAGATTCAACTCAAACAACAACAGTAAAGACATAATAACTGCAAATAGCTGGAACTAAATAACTCATTACTATATGAGCAATGGATCATCGATGCATATAAAAGAGAAATTATAAAAGTTCCTGAGAATCAATGAAATGACAACACAACCACTGCCGAACCTATGGACAACAGGCTAAGGCAGTCTTGAGAAGAAAGTTTTATAGCCATGAGTGCATATATTAAAAAGATTGAAAGATCCACAATCAATGACCTAGATGATACATCTCAAACTCCTAGAAAACAAGAACAAGCAAATCCCAAAACAAATAGAAGGAGAGAAATAATAAAAATAAGAGCTGAAATCAACGAAATAGAAACCAAAAAAACCATACAAAGAATAATGAAACAAAAAGTTGGTTCTTTGAAAAAATAAACAAGATGATAGACCCCTGGCAAACCTGACTAAATAAGGAAGAAAAACCCAAATTATAGAATCAGGAATGCAAAAGGGGAGATAACAACAAAACACCATGGAAATCCAGGAAATCATCAGAGACTACTTTGAGAACCTATATTCAAATAAATTTGAAAATCTAAAGAAATGGACAGATTTCTAGATACATATGATCATCCAAAACTGAACCAAGAGGAAATTAATCACCTGAATAAAGACCTATAACACAAAATGAAATTGAAGCAGCAATCAAGAGTCTCCCCAAAAAGAAAAGTCAGGACCTGATGGATTCTCTGCTGAATTCTAACACTTTAAAGAAGAACTGATACCAACCCTCCTTAAACTGTTCCATGAAATAGAAAGGGAAGGAAAACGCCAAACATTTTATGAAGCCAGTATTACACTTATCCAAAACCAGGCAAAGACACCTCCAAAAAGGAGAACTATAGGCCAATCTTCCTTAATGAACATGATGCAAAATCCTCAACAAAATTTATGGCAAACCGAATTCAGCAACACATAAAAAGATTATTCACCACGACCAAGTAGGCTTTCATCCAGGGATGCAGGGGTGGTTCAACATACAAAATCAATAAACATAAATAAACCACATTAACAGAAGCAAGACAAAAACCACTTGATCATCTCAATAGATCAGAAAAAGCCTTGATAAGATCCAACATCATTCATGATAAAAGCTCTAAGAAAACTAGGAATAGAAGGAAAGTTCTCAACATTATAAAAGCTATATATGACAAACCTACAGCCCATTTACTTAAGTGGAGAAAAATTAAAACCATTCCTCTAAAATCAGGAACCAGACAAGGATGCCCACTATCTCCACTCCTATTCAACATAGTACTGCGATTCCCTAGCCAGAGCAATTAGGCAAGAAGAAGGAATAAAAGGAATACAAATAGGTAAAGAAACTGTCAAAATATCCCTATTTGCAGATGACATGATCTCTATACCTTAAAGACCCAAAAAACTCTACTCAGAAGCTTCTAGACATCATCAATAGCTATAGCAAGTAGCAGATATAAATCAACCATAGAAAAATCATTAGCATTTCTATACACTAACAATGAGCAAACTGAAAAAGAATGTATGAAAACAATTCCATTTACAATAGCCTCAAAAAAAAATACAACCTAGGTTAAACCTAACAAAAGATGTGAAAGACCTCTACAAGGAAAACTATACACTTCTGAAGAAAGAGATTGAGGAAGACTATAGAAAGTGAGAGATCTCCTCCCATGCTCATGGATTGTAGAATCAACATAGTAAAAATGTCGATACTCCCAAAGTAATCTACATGTTTAATGCAATTCCCATCAAAATTCCATGACATTCATTAAAGAGATTGAAAAATCTACTGTGAAATTATAGGAAACACAAGAGGCCACGAATAGCCAAGGCATATACTCAGTCAAAAGAACAATGCAGGAGGTATCACAATACCTGACTTCAAACTATATTACAAAGCAATAAATAAAAACAGCATGGTACTGGCACAAAAACAGACATGAAGACCAGTGGAACAGAATAGAGGATCCAGATATGAAGCCACACAACTATAAGCAACTTCTTTGACAAAGGAGCTAAAATATACGATGGAGAAATAGCAGCCTCTTCAACAAAAACTGCTGGGAAAACTGGTTAGCAGTCTGCAAAAAACTGAAACTAGATCCATGTATATCACCCTATACCAAGATTAACTCAAAATGGATCAAGGATCTTAATATCAGACCCAAACTCTTAAGTTGATACAAGAAAGAGTAGGAAATACTCTGGAGTTAGTAGGTATAGGTAAGAACTTTCTCAACTGAAACCCAGCAGCACAGCAACTAAGAGATAGCATAGATAAATGGGACCTCATAAAATAAAAAGCTTCTGTTCATCAAAAGAAATGGTCTCTAAACTGAAGAGAACACACCACAGAGTGGGAGAAAATATTTGCCAATATACATCAGACAAAGGACTGATAACCAGAATATATAGGAGAACTTAAAAAACTAAATTCCCCAAAACTAATGAACCAATAAAGAAATGGGCATGTGAACTAAACAGAACTTTCTCAAAAGAAGAAATTCAAATGGCCAGAAAACACATGAAAAAATGCTCACCATCTCTAGCAATAAAGGAAATGCAAATTAAAACCACGCTAAGATTCCACCTCACCCCTGTTAGAATAGCCATCATCAGCAACACCACCAACAACAGGTGTTGGCGAGGATGCGGGGAAAAAGGAACCCTTACACTGTTGGTGGAATGTAGACTAGTACAACCACTCTGGAAAAAATTTGGAGGCTACTTAAAAAGCTGGACATCGATCTACCATTTGATCCAGCAATACCACTCTTGGGGATATACCCAAAAGACTGTTACTCCAGAGGCACCTGCACACCATGTTTATTGCGGCACTATTCACAATAGCCAAGTTATGGAAACAGCCAAGATGCCCCACACTGACGAATGGATTAAGAAAATGTGGTATCTATACACAATGGAATTTTATGCAGCCATGAAGAAGAACGAAATGTTATCATTCGCTGGTAAATGGATGGAATTGGAGAACATCATTCTGAGTGAGGTTAGCCTGGCTCAAAAGACCAAAAATCGTATGTTCTCCCTCATATGTGGACATTAGATCAAGGGCAAACACAACAAGGGATTGGACTATGAGCACATGATAAAAGCGAGAGCACACAAGGAGGGGTGAGGATAGGTAAGACACCTAAAAAACTAGCTAGCATTTGTTGCCCTTAACGCAGAGAAACTAAAGCAGATACCTTAAAGCAACTGAGGCCAATAGGAAAAGGGACCAGGAACTAGAGAAAAGGTTAGATCAAAAAGAATTAACCTAGAAGGTAACACCACACACAGGAAATCAATGTGAGTCAATGCCCTGTATAGCTATCCTTATCTCAACCAGCAAAACCCTTGTTCCTTCCTATTATTGCTTATACTCTCTCTACAACAAAATTAGAATAAGGGCAAAATAGTTTCTGCTGGGTATTGAGGGGGGGAGCGGGAGGGGCGGAGTGGGTGGTAAGGGAGGGGTGGGGCAGGGGGAGAAATGAACCAAGCCTTGTATGCACACATGAATAATAAAAGAAAAATGAAAAAAAAAAAAAAACAATAGCTATTTATGAAAAAGGGTTTGCAGCTGGCCAGGTGGGCATGCCTGTGAAAATCTGAGCACATGAAGAGGCTGAGGCAGGAGATCATTGAGTTTGAGGCCAGCCCTTGTCCTTACTGGTGGAATCCAGGTCAGTCTGGACTACTAGTGAGATCTTGTCTCCAAAAAATCAGAGGAAAAGAAATGTGAAAATGATGAGGTACTTTCTATATATGTGTGAATATGGAACATTGAACCTTTCAGTCATTTCAGAAGGGAGTGGGAGAAGAGGGGAAATAATGGAGGGATGAACCAAATAGGGATACTTTATATATATGGAAATGTTACAATGAAACCCCCCTGTATAACTATCATATACGAATAAAAAATTAAAAAAAAAAATGGTTTTTTTCATTGTTTTTTTTTTTTTTTCTTTCGTTCTTGTCATCACCTCATTGCTAATTTTGTTTTGGGCATATGCTGCAATACTTGGAATATAAAGGTATACTCAATTGATGGATAAGAGATAAGTGTTTCTTTAGTATAATTTGATTATGGATAAAAAAATGAGCACACTCATGGGTATTTACAAAAGAAGCATTTAACGTAGTCTGTAGATTGTTTGTATATATTAAGTGGAGAAAGAAATTGAAGGTTTTCTATAGGGATGATTCTATTGGATGGATGGATAGGAGAAACACTGTGTGCAATGAGAAAAGAAGGAAAAGTAGAGGAATTTAGGGAATTTAAGGGACAGGGAGGAGTAGTTGCAAGAAGGTTATAAAATGTGATGAGACATAAAATGTGGCTTATTTGACAGAAGCCTGATTTTGTACAAAGGGGACCCATTGGGAATTTTGCATTTTTAAATTTTAAATAATTTCCACATTTGAAAACCTACTAATTTTTGAGTCTAGAAATCTAAGCTCTTAAATAATCTTTCCTAAGGCCAGTAGTGTTTATTATGTCATCCTAATTTTCTTTTTAAGGATTTGAATTTGTCGAAATGAGTAATCGTAAATCAAAGAGTAACAACTTAATACACACAGAGTGCCTTTCACAGGTTAGTATGTATTTTCCTTAATCTCAAGGCCTTTTATCTTGCAAAGAACCAAAGAAATAGTTATTTTTTTAACTTGAATTTTTTCTTAGCACTTAGGAACATTAACTCTTTCCCTTCTTAGGGGGTTATCTGTACAAGTTCATAAGAGCAATCATGTGGAAGTGAAGCTTTCCAAGCTGTCAAAATTTAACATGAAATAAGGGATGCTGTTGTTATTGTTATGGTTGTCAGTTGATATTGATAACATTTGTTTCATAATGTCTAATGCTACTGCTTATGTTCATCCTTTCCAAGTCTTTGGATATTTAAATCTTAACTTTTGCTCATGCTTTCTTAAATGTGATTGATTTCAATTTAGTTAAATGTTATCTTCAGAATATAAGTTTTGCATTCCTTTTGTTAAATTTATTCCTAAATATCTTACTCCTTTTGATGATGTTGTATGTGGAATTATTTTCTTAATTCACTTTTGCTTAAAGTTGATTGCTGATTTATAGAAATGCAATTGATGTATGTATATGGCTGAACTTGTTTATTAGTTCTAATAGGTTTTTAGTTTATTCATTGGAATAAACATCATGTCATTTTAAATAGACAAGATTTTACTTCTTTTCCAATCTGTATGTTTTTAATTTGTTTTTCTTGCCTTATTGCCCTGGTATGAATCATCAGAAAAATGCTGAGCAGAAGTAGTGGGAACAGACATTTTTTGGTTTTTTTCTGATCTTAAGCAGTAAACATTCAGTCTTTCACCATTATATAAAACCTTTAGGGCTTTTTTGTAGATACCCTTTATCAGGTTAAGGAAATTCCCCTATATTCTTAGTTGGTTGACTGTTTTTATATTAAATGTTTAATATTAAATACATGTTGTATTTCACATACTAAGTAAATATTTAATAATAGCCATCCCTTAAGAAGCTTATAATCTAGAAGGGAAAGGGCTTGATATTTCTACATAGGCTTTATCTAGCTTGACCTCAACTACATTTATTTGTTAAATTGAAGCTAAATGTTTTTGATAACCCTTTATAAGACTATACTTTCATCTTGAAGAAAAGTATTTCAACAAAATTTTAACTGAGTGCAATGTGTAATGGCACACCCTTGTGATCCTAGCACTCTAGAGGCTGAGGCAGGAGGATCATAAGTTTCAGGCCGGACTGCCCTACATAACCATAGTGAGACCCTATCTCAAAAGGTGTGTGCACACACACAAATGTACACAGAGAACTAGGTACCACTGTGGCTTATGCCTGTAATCCCAGCTTCTCGGGAGGTAGAAGTAGGAGGATTGTGGTTCGAGGCCAATCCAGGCAAAAATTAGTAAGATCTTATCACAAAGAACAAGGCAGGTGTGTTTTACCTGTTTGTAATTCTAACTAAGTGAGAGACAGAGGTAGGAGGAAAACAGTCTCCCAAAGCAGACCCTAGGCAAAAGAAAACCCTATCTGAAAATAAGTAAAGCAAAAAGTGCTGGGGATGTGACTCAGTAAGAGATATAGTGATTGCCTTGCAAGCATGAGGCCCTGAATTCAAAACCCAGTACTGCCCCAAAAAAGGCAAAAAAAAAAAAAATTAGCTGAGGTATAATTTACATATTTTTGTCTGTAATGTGCAGTTAGTTATTCTGTGTACAGATGAAGTAATTTCTGTATACCTGCTTAAGGTACATCCAGATGACTTTGGGATTTTCAAACCTCCTAACTTCTTACTACAGCTTCATTTCCTGTATCCCTATCCTGTATTTTTTACATAGTTGTTACCTTAGTAGATTTCAGTGAAATGTGTTTTTTAAAGAAAAGAATTCAGGTTTTCTTTTGATTTTTGATAATCTTATCTTTGTAGAGGAATAGATATTATGATTCATTGAATAACTACACACATACATGCATACACAAATATATGCTGATTTGAGTGTTTTACAGGTATCAGGTGTTACCTGTATTGTTTTAGAGATAATGCCTTAATCTTCAAAATATGCTGCAACAAAGCTATTATTGTCTCCTTGTTATAAAGAAATTAAGATTTCGCAAATACTTAATCTTTTTAAGTTCATATCAGTGACTCTTTGGCACCAATTCTATTACTCTTTCCACTTCTAAAATGGTAATAATGGATTGTTTTTAATCCCTGTTGAATCAATTTTTCTTGCTTAGTCTATGGTACATGTAAAGAGAACCCAGGTTTATCTCTTTGCACGTGAAGATTAAATCCCATGCTATCAGTCTGGGAGAAGCAAATAATCTTAAAAACTTACTTCAGCCCATGGGGCCAAATCTGAGACAGCTACCCTACCTAATAAGAGTTTTGTTCCTGAAGGATCTCTAAATTAGCAGCAGATCCAGAAAACGAATGACTTTAATGGCTCAGCATTTTTATAAAGACTACACTGTCTGACATAACTAAATCTAAGGTCCTAATTGCCAAAACAAACTCAAAATATAGCTACTGATAAGAATATTTTTCTTAATTTATTTCAATGATTCCTTATTCCTTCCTCCCCTGCCCCCAACTATGGAATCCAGGACTTGCTGGGCAGGAACACTATCCCTGACCTATACCCCAGCTTTGATTCCTTACTTTGTGGCCTAGATAAGTATGTTTTCTCCCATATAATTGAACTGTTGCTTATATTGTTGAACTAAGACTTTTTCAGTTTGTTTCTTGAATTTGTCATTTCCTTCCAGTCTGTTTGGTGTCTTTTTCAGCATGGATCATACTGTATTTACATTCCTATGCTATGGATTTAATAGATCCTCAAAACTACATGAACTTTTAAGCTTCTTTGTTTTCTACAGAGTCCTCACTTTTATGAGATACACATTGATAGTGATTGAGCTAAGCCAGTTTAGATGTGTTGGTCTCTACAGATTGAGTATATTGTGCATTGAGCATTATTAAGTTAGATTGCATTGTTAGATTTTCTCCTGTCTTTGTTCAAAGTGGACTATTTCTTCATGAATGTGGATTAAAATAGCTCTCAAGTTGGTGATATAAAGTAACTTCCCTTCTTTTATTTTTTGGTGGTATTGGGGTAGTATTGGGGCCTCACACTTGCTAGTCAGGCACTGTACCATTTGAGCCACTCCACCAGTTTGGTATTGGTATTTTCGAGATAGAGTCTCATGAACTGTTTGCCCAGGGCTGGCTTAAACTGTGATGCTCCTGATGTCTATCTCCTCAGTAGCTAGGATTGCAGATATCAGCCACCAGCTCCCGGCTAGTAATTTTCCCTCTTGTTGAAACTTTTACAAGTAAATTCCCATCATTTCTCTGTGACTTGATAGTAAAAAAAATTAAAAAAAAAAAAAGTAACTTTATAACTCATAAAAATGGTGCCAGACCTATCAAGGAACTTATTTAGTGAGGGTTAAATTCATTAATACCTAATTCTGACCAGTTTAAATGTAATTTCTCTTTCATTTTTTATTGTATATGTAATATTTTTATTTATATTCACTTTATTTCCATCAGGTACAAAGAATTTTACGGGAAAGATTTTGTCATCAGAGTCCAAATAGTAACCTATTTGGAGTACAAGTACAATACAAGTAAGTCTTGTTATCTACTTGTCTGTTGTGAACCTATTTATAGATGGCCTCCAGATTTTGGAAAAACTAATCATACACAAATTTGATCTTAAGTAAGGTTGAAGTATACTTCTATAGAAGTAAAAATAATTTGTTTTGTATGTAGAAATGCTGTAAAGTGTACTTTTATTGAAGTAAATAATTTTGTGTATAGACTCACTGGATATTATGACACATGAGCAGATGCAAATATTTCTAAAGGGAAAAAACCCTTAATCTTATTTTATTTATTATCTGGTGTCATGGAGAAATTTCCAACCTTCTGGCCCTTAATACCTGGCAATAATCTCTGTAGTTAAAAGTCAGAGTATTAGGAGAAAAAGTGATCTCTAAACCCAGGGGTCTTAAGGATTGCAACTTTTGCCCTCTGTCCCCTACCATCCTAAAATCCAATATCCCTAACTTAACTAAATTTGCTCTTCATGTTTCCACAGGTCAACACTGACTGACCTACAATTTTTTATCCCATGCTCTTCTGTGTAGAACTATATTGAGCCTTAGTCAAAGGCAGAGAAGACAGGAATTTATATACATACTCAAATTCAGCTTTCAAAAAGTACTATCTTATAAGTTTTTTTTAATTGTTGTGCTGGTTGGGGGTACATTGTGACATTTACAAAAGTTCTTACAATATATCAAATACATCATACTTGAACTTACCCCCTTTTCCATTCTCCTTTATCCCCCCACCCCATTCCTGGAATAGTTTCAATAGATGTCATTTTTTCCATTTACATACATCTTGTAAATTACTCTAATTGTTGAAATGTTGGCCTATTCATATCATTTTAGACACTTAATTGAGCTGCTAAAAAGAACAGCTATCCATGGAGAAAGTAACTCTGTACTCATTATTGGACCCCGAGGATCAGGAAAGACTTTGGTAAAAGCTTTTAATTTCTAGTGTTACTTTGCTGTAATAGACATATGATGATTCTTAATTCAGGTAACACTGAAAATGCTTTTCATTATTTCATAAAGTTTATTTTTCCATTTTTAGTCGCAAAAGATAGACAAAAGCCTTGTGAAGTTAAGATGGTATATTTGAGTTGAACATACTTCTTTTCCTCACAGTGACAAATTTTCTCTTGACATAAGTCAAGAGACAAACAGCTTGGTGTTTGTCCTTCAAGTACTAGAAACAGCCAGTGTACAGGGAAACTAGCATTTGTTGAGCACATGGTGCTCATACTTTGTACCCCCTCTTATCTATGTTCTTTCATTTATTTTTTACTTCAGCCTTCTAGGTAAGTTTTATTCCTTTTTTAAAGATTACTGAATTATCATATCTGTTCTTATTTCTCTGGGTTTTTTTTTTTTTTTTTTGCTTTTTGCTATTTATTGTTTAACTCAAGCAAATTTTTCATGTCCACTCATGTTTTCAGTAATTTTTCTCTACTTTCTGCTTCTCTAATATTTTATATGTGATAAATTATTAATTTTTCTCAATGAAATTTGGTTTCTGACTAAATACGTTTTAAAATATGAGTAACCGAATTAAACTTGTACTTTTATTTTTTAAGCAATATGTTTTAGCTCTATACTATACAAAATGAGGGAATTAGGATTTTGTTTTTACCATCCCATTTTGTTATTATTTAAGGAATATAAATTGGTAATTAGATTTTTTAAGTTTTTAGTTTTGACCCTCACTTGTTTTAGTCCTCATGCTCAATTTCTATAATCACTATTCTTGAGGTTTTGGCATTTGACTTCAGTGACATTTGGTTAATTTTTACCCAAAAACTATGTGACTTTGGAAGTGTTAGTTATTTTACATAATTTACAGTATGCCTGTGGGTTGTATTCTTGGGTCACAGTTTTTCCGTCTTAGAATTATATATATCTTACTCAGTTTGTATTTTGTGGGGAAGCTCCAAAGAGAGGCTTTTCTTTTTTGCCTTTATAAATCATCTATCTCCATAGTGTAGACTACACAGTCATAAAAATCCCAAGTGTCAGTGGCTTAATGAAACAGAAGTTTATTGTTCCTCTTGTTCTATGCTTATTGTGGATCCCATTTGCCTTAACAACAGTAGTGGACACATCCATGCAAATAATAAGATAATTTCAGTGAATCTATAAAATGAAGATGTTATTACTATGCATATTTCATTCTGCAAAGGATTTGAAGTGGTTTTCAATAATTCATCTAAACAAAATGATTTGTGAATTGAAACAGAAAGTAAGAGCCAAAGAAAATATAAATCAAATATACGACAAAGGGAATAGAACACAATGCGGAGTGCTAAAGAAAAACATGCTGGAAGCAAATGTTTTGAAGGATCAAACTTGTATTTAGGAATGTACTCTTTTAATTGGACCTGATCCAATGACAGAGAAGGTACTACCATTTTGCTTCAGACAGTTCTTCAGTGTCACTTCTCAGCTGAGCTATTGCTTGTAATATGACAGTTGATAGTTTGAGATTGCATACTTTTAAGAGGACCTACACTATCTGTGATCTGAAGTGGAATTCTCTGTCCTTTAAAAATCATGTATATATACTGAGAATAGTTGGTATGTTTAATATCCTATTATGAAACCTAAGAATTTACTGAGGATTGAACTCAGGGCCTCACGCTTGCTGGGCAGATGTTCTACCACTTGAGCCATTCTGCTAGCCCTGTTTCTTCCTTTTGCACAGAAATGTTGTAGTGACGAGTAGGAGTAACATATTGCAAATACTATGTTGCGTTTTAAAAAAGTTTACCAGGTGTTCCAGTGCCTTTGTTGAAAAATTATTTTATTCTTACTAAATTTTGATGCTGCCTATGCTAATTTATTTGCATATTCAGTCTTTTTCTGAACTACTTATTTTGAGAATAATACTCTTCTAATAGTGGAAGGAATAGTCCATTAGTCCTCCTCCATTTGAAAGGTTTTTAATCTTTCTTTTTATGGTTGTTTCTTCTGGTGATCTAGGACTTGAACTCAGGGCCTCACACTTGCTATGCAAACACTCTACCATTTGGGTCACATCTCTAGCCCTTTATTCTTTTGATTTTCAAATTTGCAAAAATATATGCAATGATAATAGAAAGATATTTACATGATATTGTAATATAAGAGTAATAAACTATATAAAAAAAACTTACTAAGAATATACATATGTGGCATAGAAACCTTTAATTATGAAAATATGAGGCTTTGTAATTGAAGTTTAAAATATAACACTTTCTGAGTATAACTATAAATAAACTTTAGTAATAATTTTTATAAGCAGTATATTATTAGTAATGTATTTCATTGCAACCTTTAAATTTCTTTAAGAAGAACTTTCTGTGTGTACTTAGTCACTAAGAGAATATTTCCTTTTCAATTTATCCTATTTTCTCCTTTTCATTTCTTGGTAACATACAAAGTGTTTTTGCAGTATTCCATAGAAATTGATATATTGAGAGAAAAACTTTTTGCAACTATTTAGCATTGTGGTAACTTTTAAATTTTTCAGTAACTTTTAATTTGATTGTAAGGATATTTAGTATAGTAAATGTTAGTGTGACATAAAATGCACTGAGATATGAAGACTAAAGGGACCATAGTTTAGTGTGACATGTAAAAAAATATTTCTAAAACTTTAGGGCTGTTTTTAAAGGTTCATTAGAAGTTTGGGTAGATTATTGAAAGAATATGGTATCAGTTGTGACTCTGAACTCTTACTAAGGTTCAGATGTAATATGTTCTAGTTAAACCTTTATCTGGAAGTATTTGAAAGCTTATTAATTAAAAAGAGCATTTTGTTTATATTCTGCGCCTACCATTCATTGTTTTACAAAAGAACATGGGTTTCCTTTCATCTTTTCCCTATTATTAAATATTTTACAAACTTTTTATATTTGTTTAGTTAATAAATCATGCATTAAAAGAACTCATGGACATAGAAGAAGTGAGAGAAAATGTATTACAAGTTCACCTAAATGGTAAGTGTGCCATCATTTTTCCATTGGAAGTGATATAAACCAAATGGGGTTTTATATTGTGAAAGTAAATTCACTTGTATGTTTTACATCTGTACAAAGAGTTCTGTTTTAAAACTAGATCCAAGTTTAACAGTCTCTGCTTTAGCACAACATACATAATATTTTTAGAAATTAAAAATTAATAAAGGAAATATACAAGGAGTATTTTTTTTAATCTTTCTTTTTATAAATAACTCATCCCCAAGGAAGTCAGTTCTTTGGCTTTACCAAGTGTCTTTATTGCTGGATTTTTTTAAAGGAAGTTATGTGAAGTAACAGACTTTTTCTTATTTTCTTTCTGGTTAAATTTAAAAGGCATTGGCAAATATACTTGACTGGAAAATAATTATTTATGACAAACATTTCACTTAAATTAAATACTTTTAAATGGACTATATTTCAGGACTGCTACAGATCAATGATAAAATTGCTCTCAAGGAAATCACAAGGCAATTAAGTTTGGAAAATGTAGTTGGAGATAAAGTTTTTGTAAGTATTGTTTCATTTATCTTATTGCATAAATTTCAAATAAACTTTTTCTGTTTTGATATACCTATAGAAAATGCATGCATAAATATATTACACATTTATACATATATATTTATATAGGTTTATAGTTTTTGTCAAATAGTATAGTCTTTTAAACAACAACAAAAAAGAGCCATAAGACAAATTATGTTGAGAAACTTTGAACACTGGTTTTTCCAACAGATTGTCTCTTTGAGCCTTTGTTATATTTTGGTAAATTACAGATAATACCTTTAAACAGTGTTTTGGAAATACTATTGATATAACAGCCTGTGATTATCACTATATGTGGAAGTTCTTAAAAACCAATTATGTTTTTTATATCAGATCTTTCAATAGGAGAAAAAACAAGTGGGTTTCTTTTGTCTTTTACTTCTTGAATTTAAAGTTGGCTGTTTCTTTAGAATATCTGAATGAAATAAAATTTATGATTTAAATATATTTTAGTGTAGCCTGTACTCAGTATCTGGAACATTTGGATAATTCATCTGCTGTTTCGTTAAATTTCATGTAGAATATTTAAGTTAGATCCAAAAATATTTTAGGAACATTCCAACTAAGCAGAGCCAAATTTGATGTGATACAGAGTCTTGATTATACTCTTGAAAAGACAAATAGCATTATAGTTTCTAATATTTCAAGCAAATTTCTTCTGCCTTTTCCTTTTGGATCTTATTTAAATTTATAGTAAGTAGTTTGGAAGTTCAGATTAATTTGAGACTTCTAGGAACCTGATGTGTTTGAAGATACAAAGTGTAATGAATTTCAAGGTCTCCAACTACATTTAGAATTTAGCAACTCTCAAAAAACTACCTTCAAATAAATTTAACATTTTCACCAATTTTGTCCAGGAAATACAAAATTTCAAACATGACTAGCATCACTATTTTCAGTATTATGATGTCTTTGCTTTCATATTTAAGTTTTAGATAGTTAATATGGAAGCAGCTGAGAGTTTAGTCAGTGACTTTTAGAAAAATATAGACTATATAAAGTCTAAGATTCAGCTGTCTCTTATTCTTTATTTTTCTAAACTTCTATTCATGTTATCCCTTTTTGTTGTTCAGGGAAGCTTTGCTGAAAACCTTTCATTTCTTCTGGATGCTTTACAAAAAGGTAAATACTTTAAATATTTAAACTTCGATCTTCCCTTTGGTTAGAAGGTAATACATGCTTTAAAAAAAAATAAAATTCACAAGTGTGAAAAAAAAAATAATGATCATTTTAATTCCATCATTATAATAGTGATTATCTTAAGGTAACACAGAGTTTCTCATTTTTATTCATTTGCAACAGATAGATAGATAGATGATTGATTGATAGATAAAACTTTTTTTGCAAGAATAAAATCAAAGGTTGACATGGTGGCATAGTCTATAATCCCATCATTCAGGAGGCAGAGCAGGAGGATCAACAGTTTAAGGCTTGCCTGGGCTGCATAGTCAGACCATATCTCAAAAAGACAAAAGAACAAAATAAATGTATGTGTTGTTTTATAATCAGCTGTTAATTCATGTCATCATCTGTATGGTTCGCTTATATGCCAACTTATAAAGGTGCTATAATTTAATAATCATCCATTATGGGCTTTCATTCCTTTTTTTTTTTTTTTTTTGGTGGTACTGGGGCTTGAACTCAGGACCTCATGCTTGCTAGGCTTTACTAGGCAGGCACTGTATCACTTGAGCCACTCCACCTGCCCTGGGCTTTCGTTTCTGATCTTTTATAATCAAGAAGAAATGTGTAGATGATTTTCTACACATTTTCTGCAGTAAGTTGTAATGGGAAGAATTCTGGGTTAAAAAGAATATTACCAAACTAATACTTTTGAATGTATTTGAAAGTGTTTTTTTCTTTACAACTTCAAAAACATATTAATTTTTATGTTTGGCTATCTAATAGCAAAAATTATATCTCAATTTAATCTGCATAATTTTGTTATTTTTTAATTTGCATAATTCTGGTGGGGTGACACTCATTTCATGTTGTGTTGACCACCAGTAGTTACTGGTTTACATATTTACCTTTGGATCTTTACCTTATTTTGAAGGTAGTTATCTCATACTTATTTATGGGAATTCTTGTGCTTTCTTGCCACCCCATTTAAGTTCAGTTTGGACTTTTTTAGCTAAAGAAAAGTTTTAAATGTTTTATATAGTTACATTTATCTAGAATTTTCCTCTCCTTTATTTAATGAAGACCTTCATCAGCGTTTGCATTTAATACATTAATCTCTACTGAATAATTTTGTGGCAGTTTATTTTTATATGCATTTTAAAGTAGGTATATAATTTAAACCGTTTCACACATATATAATGCCATATTTTACAAATCCTAAATTTCTGTATTATATGGGTTTGTTTGTAAATTTTAATTAGTCTGACTAACTTCATAGCCTAATCAATGTTCATAGAAATTTTTAACTAAGAAGATACATTTTGCATTTCTATTAACTAAACAAGTGTGTTTTGAAGGAGTTTTGTTAAATAATTAGTGACTCCATTTATATTTTAATCCAAAAGTGTCTGGATTATGTGTTGGTATTGAAAAGTCTTTGTCAGTTTTATAATTATCAAAGAATTATATTTACATGCTTATAAAAATAGTGGCCTTCAGTAACTTAAATTATTTTCTTAATTTTTTATCAAGAAATTGCTATAGTTTAGTAATTAAACTGTGATCTACTTTAGACATAGAGACTTTCTTTGTCCTGTGTATAATTTCTCCTATTGGATGAGTGTACATCCATTGTAAGTACTCTACCCAAAGTAATTTATCAAGGTATGTTTGTTGAATTGAGTTTTAAAAACTGAAATTTAGTAAATAGTTTGGAAATTTAAGAAAAGTTTGTGTAATTACTTGTTCATGTAAAGCTCTTAATTTATCTTAGGTGACCGGACTAGCAGTTGCCCAGTGATCTTCATATTAGATGAGTTTGATCTGTTTGCTCATCATAAAAACCAAACACTCCTCTATAATCTTTTTGATATTTCTCAGTCTGCACAGACTCCAGTAGCAGTTATTGGTCTTACATGTAGATTGGTAAGTCTTTCTATTTAAAAAATTCATTATAATGCTTAGAAAGTTTACATCTAATTGCTGGGATAGTCTTTTTGACTTATATAAGTTCTTAGGCATTCTGAAGTCTTTTATTTATTTATTTATTTATTTTACCAATAGTTGGTATATTGGTCTTGCTTTTCACAAATTGAAAAAAAACAATAAAATTATTACTATACATACCTGTAAACTAATACCTTAGTTCTCCCAGTGAAATTACTTAAGAAAAAAGAGAAATGCTAATAACTATGATTTCTACATTAGCAAATAAAAAAGCAAGTAAAAAGTTCACATACTTTAAAAATGTTTGAAATCAACTCAAAATGATACTCTCCCAGCTTACTAAGTACACATCTCCAGATATGGAGGTGAATCATTCTCTCAAGCAGCAACAGTAGATGGACTTCTTTGTTTCTCGGGGGTTTGTAGAATGATTTCATAGTTTTTTTGTTGTTGTTTTGGCTTGGTTTGGTTTGGTTGTTTTTTTGCAGTACTGGAGACTGAACTCAGGGTTTCATGCTTGCAAAGCAGGCACTCTGCCGCTTTAGCCACATCGCCAGTCCTTTAACCATAGTTTCAATGTCGCTATCACTTTATTTTCTGAAGGCTGTCTATATATTGAACCTTAGATACCTTTGGACAGCTACACAGGCCTTTTCATGATTACCTTCTTATAATATGAACTTTCTTACTGAATTTAGGTAAAACTGCCATTTAAGAATCATCTCTTTTCTCATAATAGCAACTGCCATGGCTCTGTAGCCTTCTTCCATCCTTTACCCCCTCCATTTCTAATAGGCTTATGTCAAGCTTGTTTACTTATTTTCCTTTCTTAACAGATCTTTCCTTTCTAGAAAAGTGAACTTTTTACTAAGTCATCTTTCAGCAGTCTTCCTTCCAGTGCTATGAAGAGGCTGTCTCTGTAATCTCCTTCCCTTGTACTTTTGCAGTGAGGATGTGTGCCTTCAGATTCAGCCTTCTTCACAGAATAACTGACTGATATTCTGTCTTTTTTCCTCCTTGCCAAAAGGAATAGTCTATCACAGGACTAAAGGAAGCACTTCTTGCTAAAATTAATTAATTAATTAATTAAATCTTCCTTTGGATGGAAATGGCAAGCCAAATTTTTGACCCAGTGAAAGACCAAATAAAAGGTCAGTAGCTCCTTGGCAATGCCAGAGGCTTTTTTATTCTGTATGTATCAGTCTCCAACTCTAGTTCTTTCAAGTGTAATTGTATCTATATATTTATCGGTATAGGGAGAGAACAAAAGAATAGACGGAGTGGTTACCTTGCCAGCAAGGAATCGTTCCCCTGTGAAATAATTCTTTTTTAAGTATTTTTTATATTCCCCCTATCCCTGGATTGCAACTTCTGTTATTATGTCTACCATCAGAGCACCTTTTTGGGATTTGGGGATTTTTTTTTTTTTTCTTTTTCTTTTTGGTGATGGGGCAGCACTGGTGTTTGAACTCACGGTCTTATGCTTGCTAGACAAAAACTCTACTAGTTGAGCCACACTCACAGCCCTTTTTACTTTTAGTTATTTTTCAGGTAGAGTCTTGTGCTTTTTGCCTGGGCCTGCCTTAGACTGCTATCCTCCTACCTATGCCTCCCATGTACCTGTGATTACAGATGTACACCAACATGCCCACCTTGTTTTTAAGATGTGGTTTTGCTAACTTTTTGTCTGAGCTGTCCTCAAACCACTATCCTCTTTATGTCAGCCTCCCAAGTGCTCAGTGTGGGCTACTGCTTCCAGAGCTAAAACATCTTTTATTTCCATTTCTTTCCCAAGTGCAGGTTCTTAATTCTTGAAGAGTATTATTTTTACTACCTTTCCATCACCTTCCTATATGAGTGACCTGGAACTATTCCTTAATAGATGATGAATGAATAAATGTACAACATCTCTGAATATGACCTCTTTCTCTTTTAATTCTCCTGATGGTACTACACTTTAAACCATTTTTGTACTCCCTCCCTCTTCCTACTAATCTATTACTCTTTCCTGTCCTCCTTCCTAAATTACCCATGATCCCATTTTGATCGTTTAAATTCTTTCCTGTAGGCTTGGTATAATCCCAACTACTTAAGAGGTAGAGATCAGGAGGACCACAGTTTGAGGCCAGCTAGGGCAAAAAGTAGTGAGCCTCCCATCTCAACCAATAAACGTGTGGTGGCATGTGCCTATGATCCCACCTGCTGGGGAGGATATAGTTAGGAGGATCATGGTCATTGACCTGCTCTGAGCAAAAAGACAAGACCTTACCTGAAAAGTAACTAAAGCATAAAAGAATTAATATCCCAGTACCAACTTTAATTGGTACTTTAATATCATGGCTTGTTATCCTTAGATATTATAAAGATTATTTGGTTAGATTTAAATTATCCTTTTAAAATTTTTTAATTATTAAAATTTTAAATTTATATTTTCAAATTATACTATACCCTTTAAAAAAGTTTTTACTATGGAAAAATCACAATATATATGAGGAGAAAATAAGACCTGAATCCTCTTCCATCTCCTTCTATCTTTGTATTATTCTGAGGCAAAAAACGTAAGTAAATTTTTCAGAATTTATTTTCAGAAAATAAGGACTCTTCAAAATATATTTAATATAATTGTTATACCTTTAAATGAGCAATAATTCCTTAAAAATCATTAAATATCTGTGTTCATATTTGGGGCAGACATATTTTAACACTGTATTTGAGATATAAATCACTTACCATATGGTTTACTCATTCAAACTATTAGGGCCATGCACAGAAGGGATAGTGCAAAGGAAGGAAACCAAAACCTTGAATGTGGTTGATTGTGTTCATTGTACAGGAATGAATATAGAAATCTTAAACTGGCTGGGGCCACCATGGGAAGGGTACTAGGGAAGAGTGAAGGGGACTGGTAGAGATGAGCCAGTTGGGGTTGCAATACATATATGCATGGAAACAACACAGAGAATAACCCTGTGTAACTATCTTTATCTCAAGCTAGCAAAAACACCATATTTCTCTATGTTTTATGTTTTTTCTTCTACAAAGTCAGAGAACAGGAGGGCAGTACAGGTTTTGCCTGAGGGTTGGGTGGCATTGGTGGTAGTGGGGAGGAGGCAGGGAAAGGGGTAGGAGGGTGAATATGGTACAAATAATGTATACACATGTGCACAAATGCAAAAAATGATACCTGTTGAAATTGTTCCAGAAATTAGGGGAGGTGGGATGAAAGAGAGCCTTGGAGGGGGTGAATTCCAGTACAATATATTTGATACACTGTAAGAACCTTTGTAAATGCTACAGTGTATCTGCACCAAGCACAACAACAATAATAATAATTTAAAAAAACTAAAAATAAACTGTTAGCAGATTTTTGTTTGGAGTCCTCAGTTCTTAATATTTCTGAAAGAGAGTTGAAGCAAGGTGCAGAATCTAGCAAGAGCAATAGCAATGTTCGTTAGGAGAAGTAGAATTACAGAGAAGTAGAAATAAATATACCTTCAGAAGAAAAGAGAGTCAGAGGGTGAATTGTCTCAACAAGATTAACCCCCAATATCTAAAGTCCCAGGTCTTATACTGGTAAAAAGGGGAACTTTATTTAAATTTCCTTCCACTTCTTCTCTTTAGGTAAGAGGACCATGATTGACATTTCCCCTATTATATAACAAAAATCATTTTGCACATGAGATTACCCATTACCTTTAAGAAATACCCATGGGAGAGGGGAGAGAATGTCTGCAATTACAACTAGCTTAAAATGACATGATAATAACCCAAATTAACTTTTAGTCACTCTTAACAGGTTTGAGCTGGAGCCTAGCTAATGGCCTTAGCAGCCCCTATCTTCTTGTCTATAGCTGAGTGTATGTAACGTGTGTGTAGATGAATGTTTTAGCCCTAGAGATCAATGGGTTGTTAGGTATACACCCAACATTCCCTTGTGTCTTCCTGGCTTACCACTCAAGTCTACCTGCTACATAACAAAACTGTACAGTTCATTGTGGGATGTTTAGCATATTCATCGTTGTACATTATCAACGCAGTCAATTTAAGAACTCCATTTCCTTTAGCTGTCACCCTAGATTCCACATTTCTTTCCTGATACTATGCAACCAATAATCTACTTCTGTTTCTATAATTTACCTATTCTGGACCTTTCATTTTAACTGAATAATATATGCTTTTTGTGGCTAGCTTGTTTCAGTTCCTATAACGTTTTCAAGGTTTATTTGGATTTTAATATGTAACATTCTTCATTCCTTTTTATCACTGAATAATGCTCCATTGCGTAGGTATACCACAATTTGTTCATGCATTCATCAGTTGATGGACAATTGGATTATTTACATTTTTAAGAAATTATGAATAATGCTTCTGTGATCTCATTTATACATTTTTGTAGATATGCTTTCATTTCTTAATTTATTTGTATTTCTTATTGTACATGTTGATGGGGTTCAGTGTAATATTTTCTAACCCACCCCATCACACCTCTTTCCCATTCCCTACTCCACTTTCAACCCAATATTTTTAGTTTCCATATATGAGAGAGAACATGTGGTACTTTTGTCTTTTGGTGTTCAGTTTATTTCACTTAACATTATGTCCTCTAGTTCATCTGCTTTGCTACAAAGGATAGAATTTGGTTCTCCGTGGCTAATGCTCCATTGTGTATTTTATATGCACTTCATTGTATATTGTATCCTTTTATCCATTGAGGGCACCTAGACAGAGTCCATATCTTAGCTACTGTGAATAGTGCTACAATAACCATGAACATGCAGGTATCTCTTATATGCCGATTTCATTATCTTTGGACATATAGCCAGACCATATAGCAGGTCTAGTTTCAGTTCTTTAAGGAACCTCTATACTGTTCATCACTCATGTTCGTGGTGCTCTATTTAGAAGTAGAATTGTTGGGTGATATGGTATAATATGTTTTGAAAGATGGTTCAAGTTGAGTTTTAAAAAGAGGTTTATGAATGACAGTTTGTGCTTGTCCATCTGACTTAAGACTTGCCTATTGTGCTTTTGATTTATAGCTTAAATGCATAACAACTCTGTGGAAATTAATTTCTTCATTTATGAAAACTTTGTATGCCCATACAAGTGATACATATTAATTATTCTTTGGTTTCTAGTGTTTTTTGACAGTAAACTTGACTTCCTATTTCTTCCTAAGGAAAAATAGCATAAATATAAGTAGTATTATGCTATTTATACAAGCATTACTATAAAAAAGTCAAAAGATGAATAACTTATCAATGTCATGCTGTATTCCTACCCATTTCCTCCTCTATTGTTTGTTCCATCTGCCTATCACTTTAGTTAATTTTGTTTGTTGCCAAATGAAACTTTATTCTATTACACATCCTTTTTCTTGAGTCTTTGTTACATAAAACTGTGAAGTTGTTTAAATTTTCATAAATGGTAATAAGTCTTACTGCATTTTATTACATCAATTTTTACCTGAATTTTTCAGAGTGTACAGAATTCCTTATTGAAATGCTTGATGTTACTGTGGTATACAAGTATTCAGCAATAATCACACTTTTTTGTTAGCAATCCATTGTACATCTTAGAATGTTATGCATTAGCTCAGGATAACATGATATGAAAAAGGCATGGCATCACCAAGCCTGTATATGCCTACAAGAGGATTATTTAGTTTTCATGGAGTTTTAAATGGCTAATGTTTTATTATACAATAAGTATTGCTAATTATACCAATAATTTACTTACAACTTTAACATTGGCATAATGTTTATAAAATAAGCATCTTACAGGCATTTCTGTTTGTTTTTAAGGATATTTTGGAACTCTTGGAAAAAAGAGTGAAGTCAAGATTTTCTCATCGGCAAATACACTTAATAAATTCATTTGGTTTTCCGCAGTATGTTAAAATATTTAAAGAACAATTATCTCTACCTGCAGAATTTCCAGATAAACTTTTTGCTGAGAAGTGGAATGAGAATGTTCAGGTAACTTGAAGGCAGTAATATTAATATAATTTATGTGTATGGCTGTATGACTTAAAGCAATTAAAATAAATCTGTAAATTAACACCGTGTTGCTCTGGTGACTGGAGGAGTGTAAATTATATGCTTTTTCTTGTTTAAAGACAGTTGAAATACATCCCCTAAATTCTCTCTGTCAAAAGAACTTCACAATTGAACTTTAGCACTTATGTCAGTAGTTTCAAGTAAACTTTACCTTTTAGGCCATTTTTCTAGTGAATTTGCATAATTACAATCTTATTTTCAGTATTTTACAAGTTTAGCAAAATACTTGTTATTGGTGTATACATGTCCTGTGAAGATGGTTTTGTTTCCAGTTCTCATAAACAATTTTAGCTTTTGCCTCATTTGGGTTATTATGAGGCCATCTCTGTTTTGTGCACCACTGAATTTCATCCTGGAGTCCCTTGTGCCCTTAATGGTCTTAGATATGAAGGCAGGTCCACATGTTCTTTTAAAGTTTCACTAGATCTTGACAACTCTAAATTTACCTGCACTTAAACTCAGGAGCCTCACTATAAGACCAAAGTACCATCTCAAGACTAGCATCAGTTTAATCTTCAAGTAGCAGGGAGAAGGGATACAGTGTGTATATGAAAGTGTGTTTAATACATGAAGTAGAAACAATGTAATAACTCCCTCATGGAAGAATATTTAAGAAATATGAATCCCATGAGTAGAAAATATTGAGTCCTAGGTTATGAAAGAATTTGGAAAATCTGATAATATTAAATGCATGTGATCAATAATGATTAGATCTTTGAATAGAATTATAGTGTATATTTGTTGGCTCTAAAAAGTCATTGTTTAGAGCTGGGGCGTGGCTCGTGATAGAGTGGTTAGCAAGAGCAAGGCTTTGAATTCAAACCCAGTACTGCCAAAATTAATTAATTAATTAATAATTGTTGTATGTGAAAGCAATAATGATAGATTACATTCTTTTTACCATAAAATACCAAATTCTAAAATACTAAATTAAAAATGAGAATTTTGCATTTATTTTTCTCTTAAAATGATTCTTCTTTGGATTATATATGTAGTCTGGTCATATAAACGGTATTACTTTTGACATACTCATTTTTTTAAACTATAAAAGTTCATTGAAAACTAGTATTGAAGAATATATGATGTAAAATGGAAACTTCCCTCATATCCATCTCCTTCTTTATGCATAGTAGTTATTTGTTTTTGTTTTTGTCTTGTGATGGTGGGGATTGAACCCAGGGCCTTATGTCTGCTTCATCCCTAGCCCTACTTATTTGGTCTATAACATTGCAGACTTTACATGCATATTTAAATTTATTATTTTTATGTAAACACTTCAAACTCTATATATTCTTTGTTGTACCTTTTTCGCTTTGTTCTGATTGATAATTCCCCACTCTTTTTACCTATTACAAATTTTAAGACTTTTTTCTTTAAAATTGAGATTATTGTGCCTTGCTATAATTAGGTGTATGGGTCCTAGATCTTTCAGTTATGTTAGCTCAGACAAGTGTTCTTTGATACTGTTTCTAATTGTAGAATTTCATTCTTCGTAGTTGGTGCTCCCATGTTTCCTTTCTCTTACCTGAAATTAAATCTCTGGATTTCCTCTTTTCGGTGCCTCACAGACTTTCACCTTCTACAACTCCTGAACTGATTGTCTTATTCCAACAGTGTGTTTTTTTGGTTTTCTAAGCGATTGAAATGCAGTCTTTCAAAGTTTTTCAATGTCTGTGGTCTCTCAGGGATTTCATTGTTTTCATCCCTGCTCACTCTTTTAACTACATGCACTGTGCCACTGTCCATCTCTCTTTCTTTCCTAGCTAGACTGAATTATGAGTGTCTCAAAAGTAGATGTAGTCAGGCCTCCATATTCATGGATCTGCATCCTCAAATGCAACCACAGATCAAAAAATTTTGAATAACATAATTGCATCAGATTTATTTCTTACTATTTCCTAAACAACGAAGTGTAACAGCCATTTACATGTAACATATAGTTTACATTATATTTAGCAATGCAGTGTAAGTAATCTAGAGATGATTTAAAGTATTCAGGATTGTGCATAGGCTATATGGAAATGCTGTGTCACTTTATATGAGGGACTTGAACATCCTCATCTTTTGGTTGTCTGTGGGAAATCCTTGACCCAGTCTCCTACAAATACCAAGACAAGAGTGAATATAATTAAAGAGCTTAAAGGGAATTGCTGATGAAGCACAGCTCTGAATGACTTAGAAAAAAATACCATGTGGTAGTATGGTGGCTCAACCCTAGTATTTTTATCCTTTGTTTAAAGACCCCATATTTTAAACTTATGGGTACATGGTAGGTACAAGTGTTTTTCTCATTCTTGCAGTTTAGTTTCATAAAGTAAAACTAGCACTACTGGGGTTGTATCTTTTAATTCTGATATTTTTTTCCATTATACCAGTCATCTTGTGTCACCTTCTTTGGTTTACTTAGTTTCCCCTAAAAAAAATCTGGCAACTTGACCAGAGTCCCGTCCCACAGTATGAGGGCATGTGGTGAGTGCTGCATAAAGGAGCTATCCTTTATTTCAGTGCTGGCTATTTTGCAGGTTTTTTGGGGTATTTTTTTGTTTTGTTTTTGTTTTTTTTAATTGCAAGGTTAAACTAAAAGCACTAATCGACAATACAGGTCATCTATGGAATCTTATGTGTGAAATATAGGATTTAACTTGGACTTAATTTGCTTAACTTGAAGGTTTGTTTTGCCCTTCTCAAATGAGTCTACAAGTAAACAGAGTACACTATATCTAAGTATCACAGTGTAAGAGATCCCTGGAAAAGAGCACTTAAAGAAATTATAGTTGAATTCTCCTCAAATAAAATTCCCCAAAATACCACAGCTAAATTCAAGTGGTTACTGATAAAAGCCTTACCTTTAAATTGCGTATAATGTTTGAACCAAGATGAAATTAAACAATAAAAAAATGAGAAAAGTTAGATTCGTTTTGTTTTGTGGCTCATATCCTGAGGTAGGTGTTTTCTAAAAGCATAGTAAGTAGTATGGAAATATAAATATGATAGTTTTCCAAATGAATGAGAGTTGGACTTAGACCACTAAAAAAATAGAGGTAAATTCAAAAGGCAAAGTATGATTAACCTTTTGAAGCATCATGTCAAAAAGGCAAGTGAATTTTTACAGGAAAAACGTCCTTCAATTATTTTTGTCCCAGATGTAGTTTTCCTAAGTGCTATAATTTTATTACATCAACTTTATTAGTGACTTGGTAAAAGACTACAGAAGCCAAGACTATAGTTCACCTGTTACAGTTAGCCAAGTGTTTCCTAAGTTTCTTCTATATTGAAATCCAAAGATTGGAAAAGCTAAAAATTTATTTATATTACTTTGCTTTACTATTTTATGTTCATCCTATGTACTTCCAAAAGATAATTGACCTTGTTTATTATGTATGTGTATCTGCATATATATGCATATATATACATCTGTGTAACAATCCTTTTAAAATGCAAATAGAAGATTGAGTACAGTAGAAGAGAAGTGGAAGCTTAACTAGAATAATACATTTGCTGAAAGCATGAAATTTCATTTCAGTAGACTGGATCTTATTCCTGAAATCTGATCTTCTTATGTAGAAATAAAGATGCAGTTATAGATCTAGCAAATATAGAATACCTAGTTCTCTGGGATGTTTTTAAAATAAGAAAAGGAATCCTTATTCCATGCAGATGACTTTTTCCCTCTACCTTTCTTTGCTCTGCCACCTCTGAATTTACTCTCCTTCCATCTAATCCTTTATCCAATGGCCAAGTGTTCCTTAGCTCCTTTAGATACTGCTTTCTCAAAGGGCCCTGTTAGTCTCCAAGTTTCTAAAGCCATTAGCCTCATTTCAAGATATGGGTCTGTTTAATTTTACAAAGTGGTTTCTGTTGCTTATCACCACTTACCTCTTGAAGTTTTCTTCCCTAATTTGCTAGATCTCAGACTTTAGTTATCTATGTCACTTTTTTCTTGGCTCTTTTTTCCATCTACTACTTAAATATTGCTATCACAAGATTTACTTGTCCACATCTTACTCCTCTGCCTGACTGCCATAATTCATCTTTTTTTTCTTCTTTTCAAATCCTCCATTTTCTTCTCCTTGCCAATTGATTCTCCATCAGCTATGACTTCTGTACATGTCTGAATTCTTTCTTTATACCACTTTGTTAATTCACACCCCCCTCACCTCTGTTATGGGCAGTCTCAGTTGCCTCCAATTACATTTTCCTTCTATTGTCTTTTCATACTATCCCTCTGCAAATAACTGAAACTTAGTGGTACAGAACTACGCATTTTTTTCAGTATGCCATGGTCTTTTTACATTACTCATGCTGTTTCTATAACAAGAGTACCTGTCATTCATTTTTGTCTACTGACTTCAGCATTCTTATAATACTTTTCCATTTCCCCAGTAAAGGTAACTCATTCCCTTCTGTGCTGTGTGCTACATTTTGTTCATTCTACCAGTATGATTATAAATTTTTCCTTACTAGATTAGAAATTTTGGGTTAACAATGATTGTTTTACTTCTGTAGTTACTGAGTTTAAGACATAAAAGAATATAGGTAGACTAGAAATTTGACTTTTATTTTACTGTTCTATAACATGAACCACCATCTATTTAATAATAAGTAAACAGAAAAAAGAGCTAATAAGGTGAGGTACAAAATTACATTTAGGTTTTAAATTGCATCATTCATTAATTTTGATTTTTTTTTCTTTAAGTGTCTCTCAGAAGATGGAAGTGTACGAGAAGTTCTACAGAGACATTTCAATGTCAGCAAAAACCTGAGGTCATTACACATGCTCTTGGTTTGTATTTTTTTTTCAATTTTTATTTTATTAATATATGCATACAATGTTTGGGTCATTTCTCCCCCCTTCCCCCCGCCTCCTTCCTTACCCCCCCACTCCCCCCCTTACCTCCTTTTCCCCTCGCTACCAGGCAGAAACTATTTTACCCTTATCTCTAATTTTGTTGAAGAGAGAGTATAAGCAATAATAAGAAGGACCAAGGGTTTTTTCTAGTTGAGATAAGGACAGCTATACAGGGAGTTCACATGCATTGATTTCCTGTACATGTGTGTTACCTTCTAAGTTAATTCTTCTCAAACTACCCTTTTCTCTAGTTTCTGGTCCCCTTCTCCTATTGGCCTCAGTTGCTTTAAAGTATCTGCTTTAGTTTCTCTGTGTTGAGGACAACAAATGCTATCTAGTTTTTTGGGTGTCTTACCTATCCTCATACCTTCCATGTGTGCTCTTACTTTATCATGTGCTCAAAGACCAATCCCCTTGTTGTGTCTGCCCTTGATCTAATGTCCGCATATGAGGGAGAACATACAATTTTTGGGCCAGGCTAACCTCACTCAGAATGATGTTCTCCAATACCATCCATTTACCTGCGAATGATAACATTTCATTCTTCTTCATGGCTGCATAAAATTCCTTGTGTATAAATACCACATTTTCTTAATCCATTCGTCAGTGATGGGGCATCTTGGCTGTTTGCATAACTTGGCTATTGTGAATAGTGCCACAATAAACATGGGTGTGCAGGTGCCTCTGGAGTAACCTGTATCACAGTCTTTTGGGTATATCCCAAGAGTGGTATTGCTGGATCAAATGGTAGAGGCTTTTTAAGTAGCCTCCAAATTTTTTTCCAGAGTGGTTGTACTAGTTTACATTCCCACCAGCAGTATAAGGGGGTTCCTTTTTCCCCACATCCTCACCAAGCACCTGTTGTTAATGGTGTTGCTAATGATGGCTATTCTCACAGGGGTGAGGTGGAATCTTAGTGTGGTTTTAATTTGCATTTCCATTATTGCTAGAGATGGTGAGCATTTTATCATGTGTTTTTTAGCCATTTGAATTTCTTCTTTTGAGAAAGTTCTGTTTAGTTCACTTACACCATTTCTTTATTGGTTCATTAATTTTGGGAGAGTTTAGTTTTTTGAGTGCCCTATATATTCTGGTTATCAGTCCTTAGTCTGATGTGTAGCTGGCAAATATTTTCTCCCACTCTGTGGGTGTTCTCTTCAGTTTAGAGACCATTTATGTTGTTGAGCAGAAGCTTTTTGGTTTTAAGAAGTCCCATTTATCTATGCTGTCTCTTAGTTGCTGTGCTGCTGGGGTTCCATTGAGAAAGTTCTTACCTATACCTATTAATTCCAGAGTATTTCCTACTCTTTCCTGTACCAGCTTTAGAGTTTGGGGTCTGATATTGAGATCCTTGATCCATTTTGAATTAATATTGGTATAGGGTGATAAACATGGATCTAGTTTCAGTTTTTTGCAGACTGCTAACCAGTTTTCCCAGCAGTTTTTGTTGAAGAGGCTGTCTATTCTCCATCTTATATTTTTAGCACCTTTGTTAAGTTGGTTATAGTTGTGTGGCTTCATTCCTGGTCCTCTATTCTTTGTCTTCAGGTCTGTTGTGTGCCATACCATGCTGTTTATTGCTATTACTTTGTAATACAGTTTGAAGTCAGGTATCGTGATATCTCCAGCGTTGTTCTTTTTGCTAAGTAGTGCCTTGGCTATTCATGGCCTCTTGTGTTTCCATATAAATTTCACAGTAGATTTTTCAATCTCTTTGATGAATGTCATTGGGATTTTGATGGGAATTGCATTAAACACATAGATTACTTTTGGGAGTATCGACATTTTTACTATGTTGATTCTACTAATCCATGAGCATGGGAGATCTCTCCACTTTCTATAGTGTCCCTCAATCTCTTTCTTCAGAAGTTTATAGTTTTTCTTGTAGAGGTCATTCACATCCTTTGTTAGATTTACACGTAGGTATTTGATTTTTTTTGAGGCTATTGTAAATGGAATTGTTTTCATATATTCTTTCTCAGTTTGTTCATTTTTAGTGTATAGAAATGCTAATGATTTTTTTATGTTGATTTTATATCCTGCTACCTTGCTATAGCTATTGATGGTGTCTAGGAGCTTTTAGTAGAGTTTTTTGGGTCTTTAAGGTATAGGATCATGTCGTTTGCAAATAGCAATATTTTGACAGTTTCTTTACCTATTTGTATTCCTTTTATTCCTTCTTCTTGCCTAATTGCTCTGGCTAGGAATTCCAGTACTATGTTGAATAGGAGTGGAGATAGTGGGCATCCTTGTCTAGTTCCTGATTTTGATGGAATGTTTCACCGTTTTTCTCTGTTAAGTATAATGGTGGCTTAGGTTTGTCATATATAGCCTTTTATACATGTTCAGGACTTTCCTTCTATTCCTAGTTTTTTTAGGCTTTTAATCATGGAAATGGTGTTCGAATTCTTATCAAAGGCTTTTCTGCATCTATTGAGATGAATGAAGTGGTTTTTGTTCTTTGCTTCTGTTATGTGGTTTATTTATGTTTACTTGATTTTTGTATGTTGAACCACCCCTGCATCCCTGGGATGAAGCTACTTGGTCCTTGGTGAATGATCTTTTTGATGTGTTGTTGAAATTCAGTTTGCCCATTATTTTTTATTGGGGACTTTTGCACATCAAGTTCAATTAGGACGATGTGGCTATAGTTCTCCCTTTTTGGAGGTGTCTTTGCCTGGTTTGGGATAAGTGTTAATACTGGCTTTCTAAAATGTGTGGAGGCAGTTTCCTTCCTTTCTATTCGTGGGAACAGTTTAAGGAGGGTTGGTATCATTTTCTTAAAG